TAGTATCTGGAAAGTAAAAGCATAAAGCCCCGTTTACAAATCAAACCTTTATGCTTCCAAGATTCAATGAGCTTCAGTCAAGTTTCAAGCTCTTAAATGCTAAAATAATATCCATAAATAGGATCTAGCTGCTTTTGTAATTTTGAGTGTGTGGTTTCTTTTGTTGAGGATTAGAGGTATGTTATGTCTGAATTGATGAAGCTGCTATATAAACTTTTTTATATTAAGGGGTCTTTTTTGGTTTATTTGGTTTGGTTTTTAATTTTTTTTTAAGAACCTTACTTGAACCCTGATCCTTCAGCATATTCAGTTGAAGCTTTTTAAAATTCTTTTTACATTAAAACTAGGATTGCAAATGCCACTCCCATTAAGTTTAGTCAAACAGAAAAAAATTATTGGTTTTATTCAGTAGAACCCAAAATAATATTTTTATTTTTACTTTCCAGTTATTTTTTAAAATGCCTGGAAATTAATACTGAGAAGCAGAGTAGACAAGTCTAGACTCCATATATCTTATTTTAATAGTTTGTATAAATAGACAGCTCTTCACAATAGCTAAGTAGGGCATTCAGGTGGCAAGGATAAAGGTAAGACAAGGTAAAGAGAGAATCTGAATCTTTTGTTTTGTGTAGACACAAGAAGGGAAGGACAAGAATCTTGGTGACAGCTCTGTCCTGTAACTACTGTATGTAAAATGTATAAATCTTGCTGGAGGTGGGATTACAAACCAGGTTTTCCCCCTCTCAAGTGTATTTCTTAGTTGGGAAGTCTTTCTTAATCGGGAGTTACTACATCCAGATAGCCTGAACTGTGATGCTAAGATATTTGTAGTTCAACCAAGACAGTGAGGTCTGTGTATTCTCAGTAAAGGAATTTTTAGTACAAGATAAATTTGCTGGCAATAATTTATATATATTTACAGACTCCGAGCTGCGTAGGGTTGTATGGGGTCTTGTATGTCACATCTTTGAATTTAGATCCCAAAATATCAAATAAGATAATTTCATATGACTTTAAGCATGAAAAAACATTTTCAGTTTCTCCCTAAAAGGCTAAATAGCCCTTGAACTTAGTCATTAAGTTTTTAATGACTCTGATGATTATTCTCTTCTGCTGTCTTTCTTCAATAATTGTCACCCAAATTGGTAACAAACAAACAAAGTTGAACATTACTTTGAGATTTAGAATAAGACTTCATCTTTTAGAAGTGTGTTGATCTTAAATGCACTTTCTAAGTCATGAGATCTCAAAGATTATTTCAAATTTCTTGCAGTGACTGTCAAGTGAGAATTTTAGAAGTGTATAGAGTTGGCAGAATAACTGAAACAGCAGAATTTCTGAGCAGGCTTGGAAACATTCGATCCTTATTCCATGCATCATCTGTGCGCAACTTCATGGGAATTCTTTCCAGGTAAAAATTTACATTCCGTTTTTTTTGTGACATTGAATTAAGCTTAGCTATATTCTTAAATATAGTTTGACTTTTTTTTTTTTCTCTTTTGTGTTATGTTTACCCTAATTTTTACTGTGAACATTTCTATGAACATCCATATAATTCTACAGATCTCTGGAAAGATAATCAATCTTTTGTAACGATAAATTTAGTTACTCTCCAGGTAGATTAGACTTGAGATGCAGCTATTTGGATATGACGGTGAGGAGTGTGGTTGAAATCTGGATGAAAGATGACAAAATGGAGAGAGTAGGAGGGTAATAGCTGTGTGGAAAATTTATTTTGTTTTAGGAAAGAATTGCATTGACAATGTTCTTCCACTTATATACATTATTTCCCCATGACTACTTTGTCTGGGATATTTGTAGATTATCAGAATTTCCTGGAATAACAGAATATCTAGTTCTATGACTGAATACCATGGATTCACTCAGGCATGGTAATAATGCTAACATAATATAACCTCTAGTAGCCTGACGTATTTAAATCCTCATCATAGCATTTATGCAGTGAATACCAGCCACTGAAAATTTAAGGATGTTTTAAAAAACATCTGATTCATAATACCCATCAGAATTAAAATACCTCAAAAGTCATATTAGCATTCTGTTTTTCTCATGCTGCAGATTTTAGTTGTAATTTAGAAAACTGTTGAACTTATTTAAATATTTTGTCTTTTTACATTCGTTATACATTAAATGTTTTCTGTGGGCATTAATCGGTAGTAAATCAAACATTTGAGGATGGTATCTCTACACTTAGTAGGTTTGCAAATCAAACATTGGAAAAGTTTCCAAGTATCCATTCCCCTGCATTCTACATTTAAAACTCATACTTTCTTTTTCTTAGATACAGAAATTCATACAGTTTTTTGAAATTGAATACAGCACAGTTGCTAGAAATGTAGAACTACTCATCTAAGAACAAAAAAGTTATTTTGACTATTTGGCAATGAATCTGAAAAATGCATTGTTTTTATGCTAAATGCTTATGTAATCAGTGTCTTGGTGATTAATATGACTTTGGGATTTATTTTTTTATGAATAGACTTTACTTTCCTTTAGTGTCTATGGATGGTTTCTGTAAAGTGTATTTTGTTTTAATCCTGTGTGGTTCATAATTGCATAATGTGTATTAGCACGTTATATGCAAAAGTATTTGGTACCTTGTTCATTGTGTGACCTTCTTTTTCTCTAGAGGACTTCTAATGCCAAAAGTGGTTGTTGAAGATCATGGCCTGGAAAGAACTGACATTGGGAATCTGGGCAGTGGCATTTACTTCAGTAACTCTGTTAGGTCTGAATACAACAATATCTCTTTATTTTATCCTTTGTGTATTCTTTTTACTTTTCAAATTAAGTGGATATAATACTTAATACTTCTAAGGTAATTTAATTACAAATTTTATTCCTGCCCATCAATTCAGAAGTGCTAATGTATCCTTAAACTCCTATCATGTTTACATTAACACAGATTTTAATTAAATGTGTATGATCTTTCTTTACATATAGCACCAGTATTAAGTATTCTTCGCCCAGTGAAATGGATGGAACCCGGCTCCTGGCAGTTTGTGATGTGGCACTTGGATCCTGCTTAGATTTGTATGAACGAGATCATTCATTAAATAATGCACCGTCAGGTTATGACAGTGTGCATGGAGTCCGTAAAACAGCAGACATCTCTTCAGACTTTGAGGTACTGATGCTGCGGTATTGAGTACTTGAAAAGGCACCAAATATTGGATTTATTATACCACTGATAGATAACAGAATGAATTTAAGCTGTGTTTCAGTTCAGACACTAAATCACTAGACAGTAATGCGTAGAATGACTTCTGTCTGTCTTGCAGCCTGTAAAGTGTGAATAGAATTTCTAACCCTCTAAATTGCTGTTTATAAAGAATTCTTGCAAGAAAACAGTACTTAAAATAAAGATGTAAATATTATATTTTATAATAACCGAATCATCGTATAAATATCTGGTCTGTGATATTTAAATTGTTATTTGGAAACTATATTCTACTTGGTGTGGAATAATAAATCACTACCGTGGAAGGGTCGTTGTTTTGTAAATGAATCCAGCTGATAAAAATCCCTGCCCGTATAGGTTGGTGCTCTAAGGCAGGGATGATAGCTGTAGTAGCACACTAACAGATACAGTTGCTCTCTAGATATCCGGCAGGTTTTTACTTTCATTGTTCTTAGTTATTTTGAGGAATGATTGTGCTTTATAGAGAAGAGGAAATATAAAGAGTGTGGAGAATACAAAGTAAGAAGATAAGAGATGCAAGTGGTAGTAATACAGAGAGATTAGGGGAGCGAAAATAAAAACTGTCAGATTCTTATTTTTTAAAAACGATGTGTCATTTAGGTTCATCTCTTAATCAATTTGTTTTAGATATTAACTACAGCTTTGTTTTTGTTGTAAAATATTGTTATTTATTTCTACCAGGATGATGAATTTGTTGTGTATAAAACCTGTCAGGTTAAAATTAGATACATTGTTAAGTTTTGCCTTGCTGAAGATGAAATAAAACCATTTCAGCCTGCAATTGGCGTGGAACTGGAGCAAGATAACAATGAGCCAGAGCCACAATGTCATTTACAGCATGAGAGTAAGAAATGTCTTGTTTGTATGTTGTCTTGATTCCAGCGTTTCCTAAATACTTATCAGAACCCTTTTTAGAGTACTTGTATGAAGATAACATAATAAAAAATAATTTGTACTTTATTTGCAGATGTTACCTAATTACTGATTACCATGTGGCATCTGTGTAGCATCTGTTTAATAGATTTCCTATAGCCATAATTACCAACAGCAGTTGCAACTCCTCCTGTCACAGTGTTTCAAGAGAAGCACTGGAAGCACTTTGGCATAAATCAGGTGGTCTTTAAATAATTCAAATGCAAGGGTATAAACAAAGACCTTGTAAGATCTTAAAGAACTATCAGGAACTCATGATCCCTTAGACAGACAGCCCACAGCTCAGCAGTACAACTCAAGAATTCGTAACAGAAAGCATGTGTAAAGTAACACTTGCTTTCTGTTACGAATCTGTGTTGTGAATTACATAAATAAACATAGGCCATTGATATAGGATTAGTTTCAGTCGTCTTTCTTGAATGTACATTTCAAAAAAATATCTTTTTAATCTTTTGTAAACTCTTTGTTTAGGCTATGCATTGCCAAGTACGAATCTTTTGAATCCTGTAAAAACTGGTCTTCAGGACAGATGGGGAAATCCTGTCCCTCTGAAAGGTGTTTACATCAAGGGGAGGATAATAGACTTTGTAGCCCAGGTAGAGTATGCTATTTATTGCCTTTTCCATAACTCAGTTCTGAAAAATTAATCTTTTTGTTAAATAGTGTTTTAGTCAAAATGCTATTTAGTGTTTAGTTAATTGGAAAAAAAAAAAAAAGGGAATTCAATCTATAAATGAAGGAAAGTCCTGAAACTGAGTGGAAACAGTTTTTATTCTTAGGGAGGTATAGACAAGCAAATGTCAAAAGCTCTTTGGACAGTGAAAGGCTTGGCTTTATTTTTAAGTCTATTTTCTACCTGTGTATAATCAAGTCACCATTGTAGAGAAACTTACTGCAGTACTGTATGTGTTCTCTTCCCTTTAAAAGACCTTCCTTTAAAAAAAATCTGTTTGCCAGCTGAATTATAAACCAGTGAGAAATACCTAGGATGATTAAAGGTTTATGGAAATATATTTGTGTTTTGGTTTTGACTTTGGTTAGACAACCTATAACAGCTGTCACAAGTAAAGTATCATAGAATCATAGAATGGTTTGGGTTGGAAGGGACCTTAAAGATCGTCTAGTTCCAACCCTGCTGCCATGGGCAGGG